GTTAAACAGGAGTTTTTTTTGTTTTGTTTTTGTTTTTTTGTTTTTTTATTTATTTTTTTTTTTTTCGGAAATCTACCAAGTGGTTAAGGTTTGCTCGCTCTGAAATTCCGCATTCTAAATCCTGCTTTTTTGTACGCATTTGAAACTCGACTACAAACTTTTTTTTAGGACGAAGTAGATCAGAGTTTGGTACATGGTTCAGTCTGGATTTATTATTGGTTGGCACAGTGTTAACAACAATGACATCGTGATGATGGCCGACATAGTAGCAGTATTTTACTAGATAAGGTGTCAAAGGAAAGCGCAAAGAAATGAATAACCATAAAGTGTAAGAGCACAATATATGGGCGTCCTGGGCATGACGATAAACTACATCCGCGTCCAGGGTAAGACGATGAACTGCGTCCAACAGCGGGGCATCTGATCAGGAGGCTCTGAGGAGCGTGGGACCTCCTCTTGATTGCTGGTGTTTCCTGGTCCACCCTGATGCGGTGTGGTGGCACCTGTTGAGGTCCTAGCTATGGGCAAGTAATTGATCCAGAAACTGGAGTAAAGGACATTTTGAAAGTGTTAAAATGGGTTTTAATACCAGAAATACTTTGTAAAAAATTATTACCAGAAATAAATTTTTGAAGGAAAAAAATATTACCAGCAATACGTTTTTGAAAAAATATTACCAGCTATACGTTTAGGAAAAAATAATATTGCCAGCTATACGTTTTTGAAAAAATAATATTACCAGCTATATATTTTTGAGGAAAAAAATATTAACAGAAATAGATTTTTGTCAAAACAAAAATATTACCAGGAAAAATTGTCGGCATTAAATGACCCATTGAGGTTGATATGACGTAAAACAAACAATATATGGTCATTCGCAAGGTCAGAATAAAATGTAAACTACGAATTGGAGACGTCAAAATCAAGTGTGTGCAGAAATGTAACTATCTGGGGAATGCTTTAACAGACGACAGAAAATATGACACCAAAATCCATTGGAATGTTGAAAGATGCTTTTCAAAAACCAAATGATTAAGAACTGTGTTATAAGCTATAAAAAAGTTTGCTGAACTGCTGTGTAATATCAATCGTTCTCCTGTATAGCAATGAATCCTTTCCTCACAGATGAAGAGGATACGAGGCAGTAGAGATGTGGTTCTACAGAAGTATGCTAAGAATAGACGGAACATGTGAAAAAATAAACATTTTTAACATGAAAAGATATTGAGCAAAAAGCGATTTATATAATACCAGGAGTAATCAATGAATCATAGATTACAATTGAATGTACAATGTATAATTGAATGTACAATTGAATGTCTAAAAAAATATAAAGGGAACGGATTAATTAAATGGTTTCATTAGCCTTTTTTATTTAAATTGTTTCACGTCAAGCAAGGCAAGAATGCCACTAGTACGCAGGTAGTTACAGAGAGTGAAGGTGAGAGAAGAGACTGGGTAGAGGGGGGGCCGAAAAAAGGATAAAAGCTGAACGGGGTTCAAGAAGAGAGAAGATAGTAATTAATGTTGGATTTAAATTTTTGAAGATTTTAGTTTATCAAGGAAGCAAGGAAACGGAAAGGAGTTCCACAGGCGGGAAGTGCGAGAAAAGAAACTGCTGGAGTAGAAGTGGCGGTTACATTTAACTAATTTAACAATAAAAGCGTAAGATCTAAATGTCAATCAAGTAGCACACTTAAACTAACGTAATCCGGGCACCAGGAAAAAAAGCTTCTCAGAGTAATTGCCATGAAAATATTTATAGAAAAGACAGAAGGAAGCCATATCACGACGGTGAGGAAGTGCATGAAATCGAAAAGCCAAGTGAGGATAAATTCAGTATCTGCCTATATTTCGGAGATGAGGTATTATGTACACTATTTACATTATTCGGACTATTGTCTTCATCTTTGTCGCCATATTTATTACAATGTTTCGGCCGTTGTACGCTCCGGCCTTCTTCAGGTGGTTGGAATGTCGAACTAAACCCTTTATTTCGCTCACTGGGGTAGACTGTTCTAGTTCCACGTGCCATGTTTAATGGATGTCAGTTATCAGTTATATCCTGTTAATTCTCCACTGCAAGTTCTCCACTGCCTTAACCGGGTATTGAACTCATACTCTTTAGGTCCTGTCACTGGATCTAACCAACGCCTTTATCCACTGTGCCATGCGTCCTCAAGGACACACGGCACAGTGGATAGAGGCGTACAACGGCCGAAATGTTGTAATAAATATGGTGACAAAGATGAGGACAATAGTCCGAATAATATAAACAATGTACATAATACCTCATCTCAGAAATATAGACAGAAACTGAAAGGCCGAAACGTTGTAATAAATATGGCGTCAAAGATGGGGACAATAGTCCGAATATTGTAAATACTGAGGATATATTGCATTGCAGATTCTTCTTTGGATTTTGTCAAGAACCTCGAAATGAATAGCAGGAGCACCAGACCTGATATGGCGTCTGTTTTCAATGCACGGCCGAATGTGTAGATTTGTAAATGTGCAAGATGAACTCTGACGAGAAAAACCTTCTGACACGACATAGTGGCCCAACTTTCCTTGCAGTAGATGCGGCTATTGATTAGATTCAACCCACTTTCATTCCACTTCAAGTCAATTGAAAATGTGAGGCCAATAAGGCGCAGTATGTTGCTCTCCATGAATCTAGTATCAACCATGCTGATGGCGGGCAGGAAAGTTTCTCTATGGTGGTTAAATGAGAGCAGTTTCATTTTGAAGGCATCAACATTTACGAGCCATTTACTGCCCCGGTTAATCACAGATTCGAGGCCCTTTTCAAGAGCAGTGGCCAGGTTAACCGCGTCAACTCTGACGGATTTGCTATTAAGACAGGAGTAAATGGTAGTGTCATCAGCATAAATGCCTACTTGGGAACTGATGACGTCAAGAAGATCATTGATGAAGATCAGAAACAGTGTAGGACCCAGGATAAGCTGTTTCTGATCTTATTAGTTTCCTACCAGTTTTTGACAAAGTATTCGAGGCTTTAATTAATACTGAAGTGGTTAAGCATCTTACCTCTCACGATCTACTTTCTGACAAACAATATGGCTTCCGTTTTGCCAGGTCTACCGCTGATGTGCTAACAGCCATCACTGAATATATATATGTATATCAAACTCTTGATAATAACGATCAAGTCGTGGCTCTATCACGAAGGCGTTTGACAAGGTTTGGCACGCCGGTCTTCTACGTAAGATTCAGGGCCACGATATTACTGGACGATTGTTTGATTTTAATCCAATCGTTCCTATCATATCGTGAAATGAACGTCGTTTATAACGGCCTCGCTTCCAGATCTTTACACACGAACGCAGGTATCCCCAATGAAACTAATAGGGCGATAGTTAGAGGGGTTAGCAGGTTCTCCACAGTTCTTAAAAACAGGGACTACAGATGAGGATTTCCAACAAACTTGAAAGCAGGAAGCAGCGAGGCAATAGTTGTAGAGTTTGGATAGAACTGGAGCCAGCTCGGATGCATATTTATTTAGGACGACGGCTGGTATTCCTTCACCTTCGTTTGCCTTTGGGAGTCTAATTTAGAAATGATGTCTGAGACAAGTGACGCGATTAGACGCCCATCACTCAGGAAAGCCTCAGTTATAAGGGGGAAATCAGACCTGAGTACTCCAAAAGAGCCGAGCGTTGAGCTGGAAGAGAATTTATGAGCAAAGAATTTAAACTTATCTGCTCAGCACTTCGAATTGATTGAATAGAGGAGGGATTGAAGTTTTGCTGTTGTTCAGCACATCCTTGCAGAACCGCCAAAAATCGCTAGAACCGAATTTGCGAGAAGCTGTACGTTGATTCCTTCTATCAGCAAACAGCAACTTCGCTTCTATGAGGACACGCTTGGACTTATTACGGGCAGAGACAAAAAGACGCCTGTTGCATTCATACGTGTTGCTCTGGTACAGCCGAAAGTGATTCCTGTGGGCTATAGCGACCGAGCATGCGGGTGATAACGCATTTAACTTGGTATTTCCTTGCTGGAATGAAAGCATCGATGCCGGCTTTCACCCAGGAGACCTCAGACGCGCATTACGCATTTTTGAACAGGAAAATTAAAAACTTCATACCAAGGGACGTCACGAAGGAAATCACGGAACGAGCCCCAATCCGCACGTTGATAACAGAAAGATATTCTGTTGGTAGGAGGTTTTTGGTTGGTGGGTGGCGGAAAGAGATGTTTACAGATACTACAGCATAATCAGAGTTGCCAAGAGGGCAGAGCTGTATGGTACGACATGAGTCAGAGATAAAGGTAAAAAACAGATCTAGAAGAGAAGTTTCTCCATCAGGGTTACTGGGGAAACGCATAGGGAAATCCACCACTTGCTTGAGAGATTGAGAAGTTTAGGGCTTGGATGCCAGCGAGATAAGTAACGTAGTGCTTAAGCCACCTGGCATGGTTGGCATTAAAGTCGCCAAACACAAGTATATTTGAAACGGGTGTATGGCGACGGCCTTGTCTATATTATCATAAATAGCACGCAACAGTCATGAGATGAAGGGGAACGATAGAGAAAGAAGAAATAGCTGACTGAATTTAGTAGAGAGAAACATGTAAGAATGGTCTAGAGATTCAAGAGAGAGCTCCCTAGCCAGCGGGCGATGTTCGTGGACATAAACTCCCAGGCTGTGTATGTGGACATTAGACTCTATCCTAAAGAGTTAAAGATAGCCAGGAATCGAGAATTTAGAGTAGGGAATTGAAGAGTTAAGATTAATTTCGAAGAAAGCTAGTATATCAGGAGATTTTTCGAATGAAAAAGATTCCACACTGCAGAAGATACAAATACCACGAATATTGGAGAAAGAAAGGCTGAGCGGTTTTAGGTGTTTTTTTTTTTTTTTTTTTTTTTTTTTTTTTTGTTTTTTGTTTTTTTTGTTGAGCTAGTTTAGCTTTATATCTGCTTGCTTTCAGATAGACATGATGTGTTATTCTGGTAAGGAAACGTTTAAAGTAACAGTAGCAGTCGGTTGACTAATGTAACATGTACGGGAAGAGAAATGGCGCAGACTGCAACATAGCGTGGCCTCAGGGTTGCCCACCGAATGTGCTTCCATGGAACTACAAGAACCCCGATATTATGCAAATGTTGATCAGGGAAGCCTCTCAAGACACTAAGTAAGAGTTTGGGTTCCTAACTACCAGTCGGGAACAGCAACCACAAAAGTACCAACCCGGTAGCCTCAGAATGAAGCACCACTATTAAAGCTTGAGAAAAGAAAGGAATCGGGAACCTCTTCCTAAAAAGGAAACAAGAGATGAGCCTCTACGTCTATTCAAGAGATGGTGGGGAGTATGGACTGGGTGATAAGAAAGCCTAAATATTCCTATTAAAAAAAAAGGTCTAAAGTTTTATCTTAATTAAAGTCGAGATGTCCATTAGAAATTCAACAAAGAGTTAAAAATGATCTACATCTAAAAGAATTTTACAAGTATTCGTCCTTGTCAAAAATATCTTTTTTTTTTTTGTTATTTATATCAAAAAACGTTTTCTTAATATTTCTTCAGTTATTTCTCATTTGATTTATTTTTATTTTCTGCTGATTCTTTTATGTATTTCAGAATGAGGGCGGTAATGGCTCTCCACAATTTTCTATCCTTTTTAACTATTATCAATGTTTGCCTTTCAACTTTCTCTCCTGTTCTTTGTTCTGTCCTCCATTTAAAGAAGTTCGTTACATAAATAAATCGATGTTCTCATCTGACCTGCTTGCCAATGTGTCCTGTAAGTATCAACTTCGATGTTGCCCTCTGACCTTATTCCAGTCAATATCTCCTGTGAGTATCAAATTCTTCAAACCCTCTTTTCTCATTATGTATCCAAAGAAATTTCAACAGTCTCTTTCTGATTCTAAGTACAAGAGTCCATTTGCTTCTATTTTCCTTAAAACTTCCTTTTGCTCACAAAACATTTAAGTAGTATAATTGCAGATCTGGCCCAGTCAGTATTCAAGCCCTTTTGAAGGACATCATTTTTTTTAATTTTTCTGACATTTTATATCAAAAATTGTTTCTATATATATATTTCTGCAATTATTTCTCATAGGATTTATGTTGAAACTTGAATAAAGCATGGAATAATAATAATACAACACAAAATGTACTTAAACAAAATGTATTGACACAAGAACGTGTACACAATATTTACAGATAGTTTGGTATATTCTTGGGAAGACCGTTCCTGTCGAATGGGTTGACTTAGTCGCAGTCGGGCAGAGTCTCTGGATTGCATCTCTTCTTCCTCCCCCCCGTCTTCCCGGTACCAACCATATTTATATGGTCGGTACTCCACTATGTAAATTAGGTGGATCGTACCACAACAATTTATTTTATATTTTCCTCTGTAAGTCTTATTCTTGTATATACTTCAGAATGTGGGTGATCATGGCTCTCCACAACTTCCTATGTTATTGTAACTCTTAGCAATGTTTGCTTCTCCACTATCCCTCCCATTCCTTGTTCTGCCATCTATTGACACAAGCTCGTTACGTAGATTATTCGATGTTCCCATCTGACCCGCTTGCAATCAATATGGCCTGTGAGTGTTAAATTCTCCAAACCCTCTTTTCTCATTATGTGACCAAAGGAATTTCAACAGTCTCTTTCTGATTTTAAGTACAAGTGTCTATTTTGTTTCTATTTTCCTTGGCTGTGACGTGTTGCTCACAAAAGTAATGTCATTACAGATCTGGTTCATCTTAAAGTCAGTATTAATTTTGTTTTTGTTTCTGACCTTTCATATCATAAAGTTTCCTTTTGTTTATATGGAATACTGAAAATGCCAACATCATTGTAAATTTGTCTGATGTGAAAGAGTTTTTATCTTTTTTAATCATTTACTATTTATATTATTATATTTCATTTCAACTGATATCATGGTTTGTTTTCGGGATCGGATATTTTGGGGACCAAACCGTATCTGCTGCAGGTCATTGGGTGGACAATGACGCTGATGCAGGAGAAGTAGGCCTTTTTCCTCGCTATTGCAGAACCGAATGAATTTCCTACCTCTTTGTGCCTCCGCTACTCTTTCGCTCTTGCTGTATATTTTGCTTCTTCTGCAAAAGAAGGTTGCTCATTTAACTTTGTACCACCATGTCTTCCTATCGGCTTCCTCTCTTGCCTTAATGGTAGTTGTTTCCGCAGGATACGAGGGTCTTTTTTAAAGGCTACTTGTATTTCTTTACGATTTTCTACACGAAAATGACTAATACATGTATGATTACAGCAAATATTTAGATGCTTTCGATTATTTTTGTCTGATCCGGCCCTTTATTTTCGCTTTGCATCCAGACTACGAACATTGGTACAAGTACTACTGCTCGGAGTACGGATCGGCCAATATCATCAGGTGGCCGCACCCAAATGATTGCAGCCGCTTCTACGAATGCCACCAGCAACAACTCAGCGCTGTCCGTTGCCCGTCCTACCCGCGCCAAATGCTTTACAACAGTACTTTGAATAACTGTGACCTACCGCAAAGAGTCCGATGTGAGAATTCACCTCCATTCGGTGATAATTTTGGTGAGTATAAAAATCGTTTGTTGAATGATTGATTTTTACGACTTACTTATTTAAAGCCGAAACATATTTTAGATTGTAAAAATGATTTTCCAGTGAATATTACTTTTTCGAGAATAACAATAATTCAATAATTTTGCTATTTAACCCATATCTGGGGGTAGAGATGGAGTCATACTTTGCACGTAGCGAATCCGACTGATATAAAAAAAGGTAATTGTTGTGAATAAATAGACGCTGGAAACATTGGTTTTCATTCGATCATCGAAGTTGAGTGGCAGACCGCTTGGGATCATCGAATATTGCAAGCAACTTCGAACAATCCGAAATATGTTTCGGCTTTAAATAACCAACAAAGGGTTGATAAGTCATAAAAAACAAATGTATCAGTATGAATGAATATTTCAATTTGTAAATATGAAATAAGGAAATAATTCTAACACGTTTCATCCTTCAAAAGGACTTCATCAGACTAAAATAATTCTCCTATTGACGGAACTATGGAGGGTAGGGACAAAAATTAACGAAAACATCGGTTATAATTACGGGTCAAGAAGAGAGTTGAAGATGTAGGGACGCTAAGTTTTAAATAAAGATTTTAAATTACAGGCGTCCGACGTGTCTAGACGCACAGCACAGCCGATCTTATTCAGTTTTTTTGGTTTGTTTTTATCGCTGTTGTTTTTAAATATCCAACGTTGTAATGGCAGTCGATTTATTAGGGTGAAATGTTGTATGAACATGGACGCAAATTTACCGTGACTTAATGCAGTTTTAATTAAAAGGGAAATTAATTAACTAAGGTAAAAATGTATAGAAAGTGCGCTGATTTCTGAGTCTTCCACGGTAAATTTAGCGTCCAGCGCCCATCGGAAATAAACAATTAGGTCCTAGCAGGAATCAAACTCGCAAGCCTGTCTTATCCTAGTAGCTTGTCTAATGTTTCTGTTGCGATTGTCAGAAGATCCTACGAGAAACTGAGAAAGTAATCCTAGTTAAAAATCGATCATAGTTAACAATGCTTCGTCTAATTAAAAAAACACATGTCGAGATAATATTACGATTAGTTTGACAATAATCTTATTATAATCCTGCTTGTTCCCCATTAGTTCCTTAGTTACGCCCTGTCAAAAAGAAACGCTGTTTGATTTCAATGAAACAAAGAGAGAAAGATCCTGTCAAAACCTCATAAATAATGGACTGTTCCATTTTGATCGCGTAGAAAAACGGAAAAGAAAAGGTATATCGGAGCCGCTGTTTTATTTCAAAGAAAGAAAGAAACAAAGAAAAAAAAAACGTCCGTCCGATACCCTCATATGATGGACTGTTCCATTTTGATTGCGAGTAAATAAGGGAAAAGAACAGGCATATCAGATGTGCTGCTTGATTTCAGTGAAAGATACAAACACAAAATTCAAACAGGAAAGCCGTGAAATTTTCCCAGATCTTCCTAGTCTCTAATATTCTTGCTATTTGATCCTCGTTCAAAATTCTTTCTCGTCATTATTTATTAATTCTCAAATGAGGTTGAATACTAACGTCGATCAAGTCAGTTTGACTATCAATGAATATGGATCAAGTTACTTTAATTTGGATTTTTCCTTAAATTGATTTCTTTTCATCGCAAAATATACATCACTGAATCCTGAAGAATAAATTAGCTTATAAGCTGCGTTATCAACAGCAAATATACGTACAAAGGATCAATTTGTTCGAACAATATTTGGTGTATAAAAGTTTTACACATTTCATTGCTTGTACGTCTATGAAGGGTGCTGAAAAGTTCTCAGCATGACGGAGAACAGCTTCCAAACAAAATTCTAACACTTGTTCATTTCTTTAGATTTTAGGAAGTGGATCAGTCTGAGAATTTTCATCATCCCCTGGTATAAATAAACGTTACCATTATTTTTTTTTTAAATGCTTAATGAAAGGTGAAAACTTGATGTTACTTTTTACACCTGTCTGAATTCATTATGTAAATCACATTAACGTCTAAAACTCAAAACGGCCAGAACAATATTTTTTTCAAATTTACACTAGTCCATTTCTACCGTTAATAAAATCTAAATTTTTAGACACTTTTAATGGTTATATTTTGAAATATTTGAAATTTAAGAAAATGGACTGACCGAAGTTATTATGCAGATTAAACAAATATTAAATTAAGGCCTCTGAAATCTAATAAAAAATATATTTCCGCATTATATGTTGAAACATGAGTAATGGAAAGGATCATGGGGTGTTTTGTAGGACCCTTGTGTATATGTGGTATTGTGGCGTGTGCAGGATTGAAAGGTGATGGCTGAGTTCTTGTGGTGAATGTGTGATTGTAATGAATGAATGGGTCATGATTGTGGTTAACTAGGAATAGGATAGCTAGTGAATGACCAGCCTTTCCCCACTTCGCCTTCGGCCTTGTGCCACAATTTTGTATTTTTTTTTTCCAAAATAAATATATAACAAATGCTTAGTTATTGACTGAGGAAAAGTCCACATTGCAGATATCAAAGAATCTACTCAGAGATCATCGAACGATAAAGAGAGTTGTTCAAAATATGTTGAGAACTAGAAGCAAATGAAAAAGACTTTAAAAACTTGTCACCTCGAGGGGAACGTAAAATAAAACGAGTTAAAGCAAAACGGTCGCTTTTGATTAGTGTCCACATCTTTGAACAGACTGGAATTGTCGGAGTCAAGAAACACAAAAGGCGTAGAACACTTCGCCAATTGGGATCTGTCAAGAAATCTCCTAGGTAGACTCCTCTCAGTAAAGCAAATATTTTAAAGCATCAAAATTGGTCCAAGAAATACATGAAAATTGACTTTTCTAAAGTAATTTTCACGGATTTATTTCGGATGACACTCAATGGACCTGATGAATGTGTCAAATGATGGATTTTATAAGATGTAAATGTTCCTGTGGCTAAAACAAGACAGCTAGGGGGCAGTAGTGTGATGATATGGGCTAGAATCATCAACCAAACCATTATTAGACCATTCAAAGTCAATGAAGGAGTTCTAAGTCTTTCTAAGAGTCAGTCCTAGCCCCGCAGTTTTAAAGTGGAGTGTATTTAGACACAATAATTCTTCTTCTGATGTATCTAATTTTACCCGTGAATTTTTTTAACATAAAAGGTTTAGAGGGGAGAAGATAATGGAATGGCGTCCCGATCTGAATCCGATCGAAAATTTATGGTCAATTGTGAAGATGAAATTATATTAAGGTGGCAAACAATATGACAAGAAGGCAGACTTATGGGAAGCAATTAAAGCCTTCATATCGGAAATTCAACCGCTGAAGTAAAAAACATTTGAAAAAATCAATGGATAACAGATTGCTGGCTGTTATTGAGAAGGGTCACTATATTAAGATGTAAATGCTTCAAAGACATATGTTTGTTATTTGTTTTATTGTATATCAATTGTTAATGATTGTATTAACTTGTTAATGAAAGTAAAAAGTGATTTTGTTGTTTTGCATAATAACTTTAAACTATAGTTTTTTTCATAATAAGTTCAATAACTTTGATGAAACATGTAACTGCCTAAAAATTAAATCAACATTTGTTTTGATGTCTAAGTTAGCCGCTTAAAATTTGACAAAAAATTTCAAAGAAAATTCGGTGATTTGCATAATAACTTCAGACGGAATCTAGACAGTTTTGATCTATTTTTCAGGGTTTTCTTGAAGTCCTATAAAAGACGTTTCAACTCCCTCTTGTCCTGCAAATATTTACCTCCTGCCTCACACATTACCAGTGTCCCAGTTTCGCTGTCAACCCTCAAAATCATCACAACATCGTGTCTCCCTTACAAAAGACAACTGCAACTTCGCATTTTTCTAAAGTTGATGTTTCATTGTACAAAATTCGTACACTCTTTTACAGCAATAAATTTGTGTCTTCCCGGACAAAAACCTTTAAAATGTCTACAATTAGCCGTTTCGTTTATTTGAAATATTGCTACGGCAATAAAGAGTCCGTTACGCTAAAAAAGAATAGTTTTCTACGAAATTCATTTTTCTGGTGTATTTTGTCTTTCCCTTTATGTAAACGGAATTTATATCTTTATGAGTCTGTTTATTGTTCGAGAAAATGAAAGTTTTAAAATGGAAGCAGTTAAGATGAACTCTAAAGTGGGGATTCCATAGAGATGTATGTATAGTGGCAAAGCGAACACTAATTTGTGTCTGACAATATTTACTTTTCTAAATATGGACTTTTAGTGCGAATCCCCCAAAATGTAAATCAAGTTAGCACGTGTACCAATAAATGTGGATCAAGTTAGTTTGTGTCCCCCCAAAATATGGATCATGTCAGCTCAAGTACATACAAACAAACTACTAACCTGAACCCTGACTTTGTAGCCGCATGCACTGATAAAATACTTTAGCCGACACAGAAAATTAACAAGTCACTACGCAGATGGAATAGAGGAGATTACTCAAATCCACTAATTGATTGCGGTACACTCAAATTACCACCTGAAGATATTGGAGACCATAGACATTTTATCAATGAAGCCTTTGCTCTGTAAATAGAAGAATTTTGTCCTTGGCCTCCAACTGATTTTCATCTACTTTTTTCCCACAGATTTTCATTCCTTTTATTGATAACATATACACATTTATTAACCTCGAATTAGCTCCGTTGAGCGAGGTTCGAAACCGGTCAGCTAACTCGTTCTTTATTTTCTTCTTTTAATTATAATCATGTGTGGTAGTATTAAATATACAAATAAAATTTGTCTATTTATGGCGGTTATTAAGTTTTGTACCCCTAATAATATGTGTGTGTGTGAGTGTGTGTGTGTGTGTGTGTGTGTGTGTGTGTGTGTGTGTGTGTGTGTGTGTGTGTGCCAAAAGAATTTATACGTTTGCTTTGCCTAGATCCGTCAGTTTTACCACAAATGAATGATTTCCTGTGTAT